ATAGCAATGCCTGGTTTTGGATTATATCTCAATACAAAAGCAAGATACTATGATCTACAATACGAGAGGAAGATCGGTTCTCCCAAAAAACTTAGGCGCCGCTAGGAAGTCCTTACGAAAAGAAAACTACAACAACTCTCAAAAATCTACATAATCCTAATAAACCCTAAACTTTACCTTAAATAGGCTCTGCTTCTTCCCTCCTAAATCAGCTCCCAAATTAACACTATTTAATAATTATTTCCCTCCCAAATCAACCCCTAAATCTGCCCACAAATCTGCACTATTTAATTAGGAAACATCTCCTAATTAATCTCCTCCAAATCAACAACACCCAAATTTTCCCTCTTTAATTAAGAAATATCTCATAATTAATCCCCTCAAAATCAGTACCCAAATTAATACTATTTAATTAGGAAACATCTCCTAATTAATTCCCTCCAAATCATCCTCCAAATCAGCCATCTTCAATTAGGAAATATCTAATTAATTATCTCCAAATTAGACCCCAAATCAATCTCACAAGGGGGAAAAAATATTCCCCACGGATTCTGCCTGGCCCGCCCCTATCTAGTCCCCGTCCTGGATATTTCCATATCAATATTTGATACACCTTAGTGACAAAAAAAGCAAACCAACAATTGAAAAACTACATAAATACTAATAGCAATGGTTGATTTTGGATTATAACTCAATACAAAAGCAATATATATGTGATATACAATTCGAGAGGTAGGCCAGCTCTCCCAAACAACCTAGACGCCGCTAAGAAGCCCTCACGAAAAGAAAATTACAGCAACTCTAAAAAAATATGCTCCAAATAAACCCTAAACTTAACCTAGATAAGCTCTCCTTCTTCCCTCCTAAATAAGCTCTCAAATCTGCCATATTTCCTTAATTATTTCCCTCCCAAAATAGCCCCCATTTGTTGCAATTTTCTTAGGAGTTATTCCTAACGGCATCTAGGGTTTGTGGGAGAGATGATCTACCTCTCGAATAGTAGATCACATTTATCTTTCTTTCTTCTTGAAGAGATAATAAAAAAATCATCCCCTATCTTTGTATACCTGCAGTTTCTACTTATTTCAAATGCGAATGATTGATGACAAGGAAGAGGAACAATTTAGAACTTTCAACAAACAAATTGAGGATTAAAAAATAATCATCTCAAGGAATAATCTTATTGAGCTGTCAATTTGTTCTCAGTATCCTGGGTTTATTGTTCAGGAGGTGCTTATCAGGTGGAATGATTTATCAAAGTACTAAGCCATAAGAGATGATATGGAGATCATTCCCATCTTTCACCTTGAGCGCAAGGTGTTTTTTTTTTTTCGGGGGGGGTGTTTTGGGGGGGGGGGGGGGGGGGGGGGGGAGAGGGTTGTATCGATACGCCAAGGGGCCCACCTTGTGGAGCACAAGGGAGTTAATATTCACTATGTAAGGAGGAGAAATCTAGAGAAAAATAATTAGGAAATTTTATTTAGAGAAAGATGGCTTATTTGAATTTAGATTGGACTATTGGAGAGAAAAATAGGAAAGTTTTATTTAAAAAAATGGTAGTTTTGAATTCCGATTTGGGAGGGAATTAGCAAGGTTTTATTAAGGAAAATAGGGCTAATTTGAATTCAGAATTGAGAGGAAAATATGATGGTTTATTTAAATGTAATAAGGTTTTTTTTATTTTCGATGTATGTGATTTATGTTTGCTATAGTCTTCTTATGAGTTGTTCCTAGCGGCATCTAGATTTTGTGGGAAAATTGATCTACCTCTCGAATAGCATATCACTTATATCTTTCTTTCTTATTGAAGAGACAATCAAAAAATTAGCCCATATCTTCGTGTTCTTGCATTTTCTAATTATTTATTTTGTTGAGTTTACTTCCAAGACGTATCAAAATACTACTCTCAAACTCAAAGAGTATAATAGTTTCCATAGAATTTGGACGAGCCATGATGTATTATTGCAGTCAATCTGATGTACAATACGATAATAATAAAAAGAAACATGTCTATAGCACTTGCAAGTGAAGCATTATATATGTTGCATATATTTTTTGTTTATTATCCCCGTGGACTGCATATGCAACTGCATCCTCGTGCACTTGATATTGTTGAGCAGAGCCTTGCATTGGGTACCCATACCCACACCCACCCATATACCCATCCATACCCAACGGGTCTGGGTGGATATGGGTACGCTCATAGCCTCATGAGTGGGTATGGGTATGGATGAGTACTCAACATCATGAGATAAACCAATTTACATTGTTAATCACCATATGTCGTATATTACTGCAATCCTCACTATGCAGTGTGAGACACTGAATTGTGTTGTGACCACAATAAATTCTAATATGCAAAGTTTGCAATCATAGCAAAGGGCAACAAACCTCAATGTCATCAGTCCATGATGAACTGCGTTTAAAAAGCATAAAAAATGGGTGAGTATGGGTGGGTACAACATCCTTAAAGTCACCATGGGTGGACATAGGTGGGCGAAGCCCGCTCGTGCAAAGCATGGGTATCCAATGGGTACCCAACTAGGATCCTATTTAAGACTTTATTGTTGAGTATAGTTTGTGTCGCAAGTCATTACAACTAACGAAGCAGTTCTCCAAAACACACATCTACAAAAGGAGAACGATCGTAGTTCATTAAATTGGAATGAACAGCTCAAACTCTAGATGAAATTTCATAAAAATTTGATCTATTTTGCTTTGTTTGAGAACCTCTTGAATAGCCAAAAGAGATTCAAAAGGTACTTTGGAGTAAATTATATCAACTAATATAGTTCATAAATTTTGAAGCTAAAAAAATAATCCTAAATTGAGGTCTCATTGGGTGCAATTAGCAATTTCATATTCTAATTGTAAATGACCAACTACTGGTTTAAATTTTTCATAAATACTCTCACATATCTTTGGCATGTCCTACATAGTCTAGATTAAGAACACTCGTCTAATCAACAAATCCTTAGATCCAAGTTATGACTTACATATTTCTTTGCTAATAAGCCAGTTTAAGTGATCTAAATGGTGCAGGATCACTCCTATCAATATGTCCCCATAATTCTTTTCCCATAACAAATAAATAAAATTGGTATTTTTATCTATAAGTTGCATGCCAAAAACATCCAAATTATTTTAAGTTATGTTTGCCATAGTTGATATGATATGCAAGGCCTCAAAATAGCAAGCCAAGAGATTATAAGACATTAGATCTGAACAGGCCTACAATAATCTAGAATAACATTATATGCTCTAAGAGCTAGTGTTGTAATTAATGGTTGGCAAATGAGCGAGCACAAACAAGCGAGCTAAGCTAATTGAGCTTTAGCAAAGCGCGATAGAGCAAGTGAGTGTAAGCTACACGGTAGGGCGAGCAATGGATATTATCGCCCTTTAAAGGATCCATTGTGGACTCGATAGCATAAGCAGAGCAAGATAACGGAAAAAAAGAGATCCACTGCTACCTAATAGTGCAAGGCAGCAAAAAAACTTGATGCACAGGCAAGTGATCCAAGTGCTAGAGTCGGAGAAACCAAGCAAAGATTGAACAATGCATTAGTCAGCGAAACCAATCAAACATTGAACAAGGCGAAATGCAGGTGTGCAAATTGCAAGTGATAGATCCTTGTGGATCTTCATGAAACCTTCACAATAAAAGATGAAGGTAAATCATTGTACATCTTGTGAAAGAAAGACGAAAAGATGAGATCCTCATGGTATTTTGATAAAAGAAGAAGACAGAGCAATTGCTCTCAGCCATAACAAACAAGGCCTGATGCACAAAATAAATTACCCTCCTCTAAAGGGTTTTATCATAATATAAAAAAGAGAAACAGTGCATACAAGCTAAAACATTTAGTAGATTGCTCAATCAGATAATCCAAAATAGAAAGCAATTAACTATTTACAACCATAGGAACTAATTATATAAATTTCTAGCCATAATTCATAGAGAGAAATCAATATAGTAGTTGATTCATATTATTCTTTTCTTTTATTCTACAAATTTTGTTGACATGAACCTCATTCATCCATACCCTTTCAGACAACTACTACTACATGCCTATTTGCTTTGCAGAAATGCCTCTTCTGCACAAACAAAATGTCTACCAAATAAAAGGAATTAACCTCTTTGCACTACTCTAAATTAAAAAAATATTGTTATCGTAAGATTTTGCTTGGTGTAAAGTGATTCGCCACTTAATAACAAAGCATACATAAACAATGTAAAATTCATATGGATTTTATTAACTTTGTACCACTTTGCAATACAACAAATCAGCACATACATCATCATCGCCATCATTACCCTTATCCCAAATACTTGGGTAGGATTTATCAGACCTTGTCCATTGATTCACGCATAGTAATGTGCGTGGTGATAGCTCTATTTTATGCAGCTCTTTTCACAAACTCTAGTCAAATTACATTTGGTTGGCCGTTTTTCCTTCACATGCCTTAAAACCAATTCTGCATCACTGGTGCATCTTTTCCACTTCATTATGCATGCTCCAATTGTCTGTCTAATTTCAATAACACTGTTTTGAAAAGTTTTTTATCCTAGAAGCTCTTAAATACAATCAATTCACAATTTCTTCTACTTAAGTCACTCTTAACTCAAATATTAAGGTCGGCTTTATGAATCCTTCTCCTTTCATTATCTTTACTCCTCCAAAATCCTTCCCTAAAAATTGATTCCACTCAACTTGTGTCTAATAACAAACCAAATATGAAATCTTAGAAGCAAGTGCAAACAATAGAAGTGAGAAAAAAAAAAAAAAAGCGAGATTAGAAGGCAGCACATAGTGATAACTGTACTTCGATACATTTACATAAAAGCATGAGACCCACAACAAAGAATAAAGTTAAATTTCCAGTAACTTCTTAATAGATGAAAAGAAACATCAGTAGTTAAAGATAAAAATATCTATTGTGCAGCATTTAAGAAATAAGTTCCCACCCATACGTTAACACATATCAAAGCAGCAATCAACAAAACAATATCAATTCCATTTGCTTCCTCAAATGCAAACAGATAATAAATCATAAAGGCAGCGGTAATAAAAACATGGCACTATAGATGCCATGTTTCAGGCCTCAGACAGCTTGAAGCAGTGCAAATCTTTCAAACTTACCTCTAGAATTGATAAAATGTTACGTATTCCAAAATTAGGGAGAAAAAATACCTATCATCAGCATAGTGAAGAATGTACACTCTGGTTAACAACCAATGTATCCATCAAGAAAGAAATAGTCAAAAACCAATTAAACTATGGATTCCATCAAGCATGACAACGCCAACCGCATTTAGAATGCTCCTACCTTCTCTTTCAAAATATTGAGAAATTTATCTTTTAGACTCCTGAGGAGAACTGAGATATCAGAAGCCTGAGGCATTCCCCGGGCTTCATCTTTCGCTCTCAACATCCTTTGTGCCACCACAATAGGTGCGACTCAGAAGCTTCATCTCATTTCCCTTGCCTTCAACAGTTGAATCCGCACCATCTTCCGCTGACTTCTTATTAACAACATTGCAAAAGAAATCTGTCAAGACCGTCTCATAAGATGGCATCTTCGCGTAACCAGGAAAGTAGTTAATGTCAATCACGTAGTAATGGTTCCCAGCCTTAGAATCTCTTATGATGTCAAAATTAAAAAGATGCAATCTCATAGCCTGCCGCAATCCTCTCGCAATATCCGTCAATAAACTCAGCGGTGGCATTTCAGCCTCCAGTTGCAAGCTCTCATAGTACTCCTCATTGTTCCTGTTCTGTGTCGTCATGTTTGACACCTGAGAAAAGGACAACGAACCCTCAGTGCTATCCAAGTTTTCCAAGGAAACATCCGGAAGAGACTTCCGCTTCACGCACTTGACATAGTCTCCAACCACGTAGACCTTAAAGATGACCCCGCCGTGATTTACAAACTCCTGAAGAACGAGCGGCGGCTTCAACTTCAGAAGCCCAGCGCGGTGGTAAACCAGAGACATCTTATGGGATTTTGCGCTACCATCGGCCACGAGGGGCTTCGCGATGACAGGGAATCTCAGGGCACCGACGGCACCATAATCGGAGAGAGCCATGGAGTCGTAGACAACGATCTGGCTGGGGATTCCGAAAGTTTCCTTCTCCTGAGGAATCTCGAGCTCAGAGACGACCTGGAGCATCGAGATCCGATTGTGGAGCCGCTCAATGGCGTCCGGCGGATCAATGATGGGGAGCGAGGGATTCTTAAAAGCATAATCTCTAAGCTGCGCCTTCCATTCCTCGCCATAGAACTTATGAAGCACACAATCAAAGGGCCCCTGGACCGAGAGAGGGCGATCAGTGTCGATAGGAACGAGATCGATGCCGCGTGTACAGGCAAGGTTCACGAGCGAAGGCTGGATGAAGCTCTGCTTCTTCTTGGGGGCCAGCGCGTAGCCTACTGTAAACCTCCGCGATTCCTCCATTCGGATGTCAATAATCCGTGAAGAGACGCGAATTCCTCCTCGATCTCAAATAACCTGCAATAAGAAGTGGCATTTTAGGACACCAATCCAACGAGAATTTATAGTTCTATTTCTTGAGGTAGACTTTACCAGGTAAGAAACATAGAGTGGGAAGGAGAAGGCTAGGGTTTCTGTTATCACGAATATCGGATCGGATAAAGGAACCGAGAACAGTTCGCAGGAGAGAGGAAGTAGTTGTAATTAAAGATAACGTTATATATAACTTCGGTTCCGTCACCGCGCCGACTGTCAGCGGTTCAGGGTGATTGATGAACGGCACGTGTCATTTCATAGGCATATTAGGGATAATTTTTGTACTGTTTTTAAAACAATTTTTTATATAAAAATTTTAATTTTTAAATTAAAAATTTATTTTAAAAAATAATAAAAAATTATCCCAAACGAAGCTACAGAGAACAAGAGGAAGATGCATCATAAGCCCATCTTTGTCAGGTTGAGAACTTATGCTACCAACTAAGAGTTTTGAAATTTGAGTTTTGTGTATGTGATGTGTGTATGAATCTGTCTTAATTAGCCTAAATGTCCAAAAAAAAAGACAAGTCCAAGCGAGTTGTCAGATTTATGGTTCTAAAAATTGACGGGATCAATGCACAAAGAGAAGGCAGAGCCCTTTCCTTCACTAATAGAAAAAAAAATACATTGCACAAAATATAACTACATTCAAAAATAATAATATGAGCCGAGAGCTCTAGATAAATATCAGCAAAGCTCGTTACAACATCAAATCATCTAAAGTTATGAAGTGTAAGCATTTAGAAATCACCTAAAATTTATTTGGCTAAAATGATATTATCAATGGATATTCTATTTTAAATAAATTTTAATTGGCTAGGTTGAATGATGTAAGACATGATGGATTTGAGTGGAGTAGCTATGATTTTATCAATAATTTTGTAAAAAGTATTGCATAATGAAATGGGTGTAGTTAGATAAATTGTTGGTATGGTGCAACTTAGGTATAAGAGCAATTCCTATGGCTTTAAACTTTTGGAATGTAACATTTTGAAAAAAAAAGTGTTTGACCACAGCACATACATGCTTGAAAATAGCCTCTGAAGCAATAGCATAGAAATTAAAATTAAAGCCATCAGGACCAGAGGTTGCAGATTTGGATGAGGAAAATTTTATTTTATTTTATTTTATTTTTATTTCTTTATTAGAAATTGGTGTCCTGAGAGAAGAAACAAGATGCTGAGGTATTTATTTCCAGTAGGGAGGGCTGGCCTGCCAATGATAGGTTTAGGAGAGTTAAAGAGCTTCAAGTAATATTTGATAGTCGCATCAACATGCCAGCTTAATTGGTGAAGGAACCTAAGGGATGTTAAGTTCTCTAATGCAATTATTATTATTTTTTCCTCCCTTTGATTTTCCCATAAAGAAATTTCAAACCTTCTTCACCTTGTTCAAGACATTTAGTTTTTTTTTTTTTCCTTTGAATTATCCAAGAGGGCCAAAGCATTGTAGGATATAGAGAGCTTATCAGTCATATTCTTTGCTTTAATGTTTAAAGACTAATTTAGAGGGTCTAGATTAAGAAGGTTAAAGCAATCCAACTGCTGATTTTCCATATCAAAATGTTAAATCAATCCAACTATGATTTTTCATATTAGAGATGGCAGAGGAAAGATATGTGAAAGTGGACTATTTTCTAGCTTTTATAACAATTTTAAGCTTATGTAAGTTATTGTAGAAGGAAATAATCGGGTCTCCAAAAATACCTTCAAAGAAAATAGTATGGAGAAGATCCCAAAAAGGGGGCAGCTTAGACATGTAATTTTTGCATACAAACCTATGCTTACTTTTGCTAGGAGTGTTGTCATTAGTGATTAAAGATGAGTGGCCAAAACATTGTGACTATTTATCCTCAAGCCAATATTCATTAACAAGAACCCTATCCAATTTGATGTTGATCGAATTATACTTCAGTTATTAAACTAGGTATATGTAAGCCCCAAAAAACTAAATCAAAATGCCAATTTCAAAATCAAGCTATTTAATTCTCAAAATTTGTTTATATATAACGGGTTACATCCCACTTTTCAACATTGGATCTGCAATAATTAAAGTCACCCATGACCACCTATGGAGAGCAAGATTGAATATCAAAATTCTTGACAACATTCCATAACAGTACTCTTACAAGAGGCATTTTCAGGCAAATGTAAAAGAAGTTGTTATCTAAAGTAAGCAAAATCTAGAGAATACTTAAAAGTTTAGTTTTTTTTTTTCCTCTTTTTTTTTTTTTTTACTTTTTCCAATCAGACATATTCTTTGCTTTAATGTTTAAAGGCTAATTTAGAGGGTCTAGATTAAGAAGGTTAAAACAATCCAACTGCTGATTTTCCATATAAAATGTTAAATCAATCCAACTATGATTTTTCATATCAGAGATGGCAGAGGAAAGATATGTGAAAGTGGACTATTTTCTAGCTTTTATAGCAATTTTAAGCTTATGTAAGTTACTGTAGAAGGAAATAATCGGATCTCCAGAAATACCTTCAGAAAAAATAGTATGGAGAAGATCCCAAAAAGGGGGCAGCTTAGACATGTACTTTTTGTATACGAACCTATGCTTGCTTTTGGTAGGAGTGTTGGCATTAGTGATTAAAGATAAGTGGTCAAAACATTGGTACAATTTATCCTCAAGCCATTCTACGTTAACAAGAACCCTATCCAATTTGATGTGGATCGGATTATCCTTCAATTATTAAACTAGGTATATGTAAGCCCCAAAAAAACTAAATCAAAATGCCAGTTTCGAACAACAAGCTATTTAATTCCCAAAATTTGTTGATATATAAAGGGTCACGTCCCACTTTTCAACATTGAATTTGCAATAGTTAAAGTCACCCGTGACTACCCATGGAGAGCTAGATAGAATATCAAATTCTTGACAACATTCCATGACAGTACTCTTACAAGCGACATTTTCAAGCAAATGCGAAAGAAGTTGTTGTCTAAATAAAGCAAAATCTAGAGAATACTAAAAATTTTAGTTTAGTTTTTGTCAACTTTTTTAATTTTTCAAAATTATTAAAGTTCTATCTTATATAAATTCTATCCTATTTTATAAATGAAATGAAACTCTACTTTCAAAATTTTCTAAAAGAAATAAAAAGAAAACTTATAATAATTAAAAGAACTCTTTTATTTACAAACAATTTCATTTGTTGTGTCCTAGAACATTCGTGGCTGTAGAGAGATATAATGTTTAGCATCTAAACTTTATATGAAGATCTAGCACACAAATAAATAATAGAGAGGATGCAAGAATCATAAGAGACACCAAATTTTTTTACGTGAAAAAACCTGAAAAGAGGAAAAACTATGAGGTCTTACCCAGTTGAAAAGAATCTAGTAGTGTTTGTTGTTAATTACAACTAATACCCTTTCGGGGGGGAAGGCATTGGCTCATTGTAAAAAATATACATCATATTGCTTAACAAGGGTTGGAAGAATTCAATGATATGAGAGTTATTCTCAAGTGAACACTTGCTTGTTCGTTTGGTCAGTAGGATTGTAGTCGGGCAAAGGTAGTTAAAAAGATCGTTGTTAGGGGCGACGGAGGTCGGAGGGATCGTAGTAGGTGGACAATGTAGGTCAAAGGGACCATAATTGGTGGGTGACGTAGGTCGGAGGGACTGTAGCTAATGGGTGGCGGTGGTCGAAGGGACTGTAGTTGGTGGAAGATGCTAGTAGGAGGGACAATCGTCGAAGGGTGACGATGGTCGAAGGGACCGTAGTTGGTGGGCAATGGTGGTCAAAAGAGTCATAGTAGACAGGCGAAGGTGGTCCGATGGATCGGACTCAATTGGCGATGGTGGTAAGAGAAATTGTAGTCAATGAGCTTCGGTGATTAGTGGGATTGTAGTATGTCGGCGTCAGTGATCAGAGGAATCGTATGCAGTGGATATTAGTCGGTGGACGATAGTGGTCAAAGGGCTTGTAGTTAGCATGCAATGGTGGTTAGACGGACCATAGTCGACGTGCGATGGTGGTCAGAGGGACCTCAATCGATGGGTGATGAAGATCACATGGACTATAGTCAGAAGACGATGGTCGGAGGGACCGTGGTCGAATAGCGATCCATGATGGTCTAAAGGACCATAGTCGATGGGCAACGGTGATCTAAGTGGTGTGTTGATGCTAGCCATGCAGAGATCCGATAGTGATTGGCAGATAGGTGGTGGTCTAATGGAGGGTAGGCAACCAAGTGGAGATCCAATGGTGGTTGGCAGACGGGCAGTGGTTGAATGATGTTCGACGGAAGTTTATCAACGATGGTGCCTAGGAGGAACTCTAGGATTCTTGAAGCCTCATAGCTCTCTTCAATTTCGAGCCAAAAAGGTCCCCTCATGAAGAGTGCATGGGCCTGTTTATAAATTATTGTGAGTGACATGCTCTATAATTATGGAGAGATCTAGGACAACATTGGAGTAGTGAATCAGATGGCTCATATCAATTACCTCGATCGTAGAACATTCATCAAGTATTTGAGTGGCATAATGATGTTGAAATTTAAGTGATCTTGGGCTCGTTGGATTTTTCTCATCGAGACGCTCGATTCAACTATAAGCATGCAAAATTTGGATATCATTTGGTCTTCCTACTTATGTTTTAAAGCTTCCAAATATGCTTCAATCCCTTGATTTGGGCTCGAATTGGACCGAGTAGTGACTTTGGGTTCATTTCTTCGAGACGTTCAATTTGACTATAAGTTTGCTGAAATTAGAGTTCGGATGGTCCCAATTTTAATTTTGAAAATTTTTAACTTGAATATGTCTTGAGATTGTGCTTGATCAAGCCAATTTATCATGGCATATCAACTATCTTTATAAAAAGTTATTGCTAGCACAAACTCTAACCAGCTCCAACTGATCTTTAAATGAGAGAACTACTAAGTACATCTCAAAATAATTTTCTTAGGAGCTTTGATTCAATTGCATTTTTAACATGTGAGTTTTGATTTTTTAAATGTTTCATTGAGAATATAATAAAATCATATTATATTTTTGAGAAATTTGAAACTCGTATTTTAATTTAACTTTGATGTACTCTAAAATCATCCAATTCAAATAATTTCAATATGCATTGTATTTTGCTCTTCGCTTGGCCAACTCTATGCAAGGCTCAAGACCTAACGCACCAATCTCATCAACCTGACTTGACTTGTGACCCTCCCTTTTCAAGCCCATGACCATGACT